GTTTACTATAATATTTTTGTTGGGATATGCATAAATAAAGAGATTATTTGTGTAACTGTTTTTATGCTGTGTTGTATAAGTTTTCTGTTATTTTCAATAAAACAATTATAGCTTTTAATGCAGGTCAATACATGTTCTTATCGACCTTGTGAGAGTTTTTGGACCTTAGAGTTAAATTGTTCTTCGATCGATATTCTCTCATAAGGTCGGTGTGCATTGACTTTATCAAAAGGCTATATTTCATGAAGCGCGTAAGCATTGTTTTTTCTGATGTCTTGCCACATATTTTTGTCATTCAACGATCATTTTTTGAAAAAAAAAGTTTGCACTTTTTTGTCTTCAATTATATCACAATGGAAATATTCTTACTCACCCCAAAGTAGTTCATGAGAACGTGAACTTTTTTTAATTTACAAAGAATCTTAAGGAAAAATATTTGGAAATGTAAATATTGCATAATAAACATTGCTATTTTGAACAGAGTAACTCTGGGCTAACAATTTGTTGCATGATATATAAATTTTCAATCATTTTCATTAAGCTTGGATAGAAAACTAATGTATCAGAATTTGATCCATAAATATTTACAAGACAAGTAAAACTTTACAAGTTCAATAGCCTTTTATCATATAATTTCCATTTTCATCACTTAAGTGTTTGGATATCTGTTTCACAGTTACTATTTCAACGTAAAACTACTCCATGTGAATTAGATTTATAGAAACAGAAAAAAGACGGACAACCCCTCTGCCTTTGGATGAACTTTTCGTCCTTTCTAATTACAGTTAAGTCAATCATTTTTTTTTTAGCTTGAAAATTTATATATCATGTAACAAACTGTTATAACAGGAGTATTTTGTTTAGTTTATATAATTAGATTCTATGATTCAAAAGCTCTTGATTAATAAAAAACTATGACTGAAAGTTTTAGATGTCATCGATTGGCAGTGCTTGTTGTCAGAAATATAAATCTCCTTGTAGTATTATTACTCGTGGAGTGTACACTTTATCAGGATGCTTGCACTAAAGTTTTACCTTTCTGGTCGACCCAGAGGTTCTCCAGAAGAACATTTTCAGCTGACCCTCCCTACCAAGTTTTGCCGTTTCTTAATTATCTCTCCTAGACATGGCCCTTCATTGAGCATATTGGTTCTTTTTACCTTAGGATACTCTGACCAAGATTGTTTGAAATTGGTCAAGTGATTCTGGAAAAGAAGTCAAAATATAAAAAGTTAACAGTTGGCTAGATAGATGGCCAACAACTTTGATAAAAAAAAGTATACTTGGTCCTTTGGCTTAGGTGAATAAAAATAAGAGGGATCAATAAACCGTACTGCTGTGGAATACCGCTTAGTACACTGTAATTGTGAAAATTAATCAGATGCTACTTGACTGATTTATGTACTTATACTTACTTGTACTTAATCAGGATACTAAAGAAATATAATCTGGAAGAAATCTCAACTTCCCTCTTAAGGACAATGAGAATTATTTTTCAGTTATCATTTACCACTAAAGTGATATTCAGAAAAAGGTCTTTGGAGTAGACAGTTTAAATTTGCATTTTAAAATACGATTCTTTTCTGAGTATTTTATCGTCGTAAGATAGAGGTATTCTGAAACAACTCAAAACGTCTAAAGAGAACAGATGTAAAATCCGCGGCAACTTACTTTGTTTCCAAACTTTCCGTGCAGATTCGGAAAACTTCTTTATTTAAAATTCAGAGGTCTCCATTTCTTCCGTTCTTTCGAATATATGTTCCAAGTATCGAGATTGTATATTTGAAACGGCAATTTGCGAATTTGTAGAAAGAAGTCATTCAGGCATTTCCAAAGCTAGATCTCACTCGAAATTAGCATGGAAAGGGTAAGATACTAGTAATGATTTTAGTTTATTGTGAAAAATCCAATGTGGATAGTGTTGTCTTTCTAACTTTTTTTTTTGCAAAGTTGCCTACATAGAACTACGAAATTATCAACAGTTTTCGGTATTTATTTTAATTATTATATTGAAGCTGACATAATATACCAATCATTACACTAAATGCTCAATCATAAACTTAGCACCCGTTGTTTCATTAAGTACCTCTTAATTCTCTACGTTAATTAATTTTATGTTAATCCCGGCAATAATTTAATATTAAAATAACATGAGTTAAATGTTATCTTTCTCTCTCTCTGCAAAAATAAAGGAGTGTCCAACCCCCGGAACCCCCCCCCCCCCCTCTGGATCCGCAATGCAAGTAGACTGCATGTTAAGAAAAATAATTTCAATAGCATAAATCAAGATAAATTTGAATACATATTTATTCAAAAGAATGATCATTTCTTGTAGAAGCTTACATAAAAAAGGGGGAAGGGGTTAACTACTCTGATATCGTCCACCCCCTCCCCCACTCGTCTCTCCAAATTCATCTCCCCACTTTTTTCTTCAAATATCAAAATTTTTAGAAGTTAGTTCATGGTGTTTAGAGAATTTCTTTACGGTTACAGATTCATACGAAATTTTAGTATTCTCGTGACTTGCATAACATCTTACTGTAGTTGTAATTAATGCAGTTCGTAAAAAGACGATACACCAAGTGATCTTATGTACGTTATTTTGGATTTTTTTTCAACGAATGTTAAAACCATTAAGCATTACTAATTTTTCAGATTTGTTTCTTTTTTTCAATAGTTATGTTTGCATATTTATATACGATCTTGATGTGAAAGTAGAAGTCTTTCATAGCAGTTTGTATGTAGCCTACGTTAAGATGGTTATCCATTCGGTTCTTTGATCAAAATTATTAATGGAAAATGTTTGTTTTTATTAGTCCCTTACCGGTGAAACCGGAGGGGACTATAGGTTTCCTCTGAGTCTGTCCGTCCGTCTGTCTGTCTGTCTGTCCGTCTGTCCCTCTGTCTGTCTGTCAGTCTGTCCCACTTGGTTTTCCGCACATTTCTTCTAAACGCTTGCAGATATTGAGCTGATTTTTGGTATGTGACTTAACCTTGATGAATAAAAGATGATGAATTTCAGCCAAAAATCATGGATACACTGAACCACCAATGCCAGTCTACCATGCTCATCCTCAACATTCAATATCCTTGGTACAGCTCTGAGAATAATGACGTCTTCACTTTCGCGGCGACGTATTACACTTGGGATATCCCCCCTAATCTGGCATTCAAGATAATTGTATTTATGTGAAGCATAAAGTAATTTATTCCATCTCTATCAAAATATTAATTTTGTATTTTCCGGATTTTGTCATGCCTGCAGTTTAGATTCTCATCTTACAAAATCTATTACTTCTGATCACGTGATCTTTGTTTACTGTAATTTTAGAAGGGAGAAAATTTTGAGGATATTTGGTTGGACTTAACGTATTTTTGTTGTGTTATAAAGATTTATTTGCTACTTCAACGTATATTCAGTTGAGGATGTATTGATCAGATCGGGTAAAGTAAGTAATATGTGAATATTAGCATTATTACAACGATTACTGTACAAACTGACTGACCAATGGCTGTTCTCGTTACCTCCCTTCTAACATCAACAAATCTGTTATGACCAAACAAGTTTTTATTCTTGGCCATTCCTTTGTGCGGAGATTTGAACATTTTGTTTTAAACAATTTGGACAGCCGGGTGAACGAAAACTTGAATTTGAATAGGGATGAGGTTCAGATTTGTTACAGTGGACATGGTGGCGAATCTCTAGAGAGGATTCGCGCGCTTGGACTCGCTTATGTAAGGGAACACCGCCTGGATGTTGTTATTATTCATGCCGCTTCTAATGAATTGTGCAAACCTGAGAAAACTATTGACATTATTTTTAGACATTTAGTTGAATTTATTGTCGACCTACGGTATGGAGAATCTGTAAAATCCGTGGTAATTTTACAAACATTGCACAGAATTGCTCTCCTAAGGCGCACACGCTACGAGGTCAATTTGCCTTGGTTCAACAGCAGGGTGGATGAGCTAAATAGGAGGATATCAGATTACACAAAGGAAGTTGATGGTGCTGAATTCTTCCGTCTTTCAGGATTTTGGAACCCTCTACTAAGTCCAGTGTATACCTTGATGATGGAGTCCATTTAAATAAACAAGGGAACTTCAAATATTACAATAACATTAGAGCTGTTGTTGTTTCTGCTCTTAAATCTCTGCACAATGGTTGATAAAGTTAATTTTTATGATTGTATGCTATACCCCCTATAAAGTGGGGTTTATTAATAATGCATACCTTATAGAATAAACTGAATTGTTGATAAATATGAATAATTTAGTGTGTATGGCTGATACGTGTCAGTGTATTAACTCTATATAGGACGGGGTAAGACTAGTTGCTAATAATACACATTATTATTTGACCTTTGAACTTTTAGGTTCAGGTCTGTGTACCCCTATATGGTTTGGGTTTATTTATTAATACACATTATTATTTGACTTTTGAACTTTTAGGTTCAGGTCTATATACCCCTATATGGTTGGGGTTTATATTTATTGTGTATGCAAATACCTATTTGTTTATTTTCCATTGGGTCTTCCATTTATACCCCTATATGGTTGGGGTTAATTTGCATAAGTGATTTTCATTGTTATGCACATACTTATGGAATAACTCACTGGGTAAAGTGTCTGGTTTTTTTTTTTTTTTTTTTTTTTTTTTTTTTTTGGTTTAATACCCCTATATGATTGGGGATATTTTATATTCTGTGCAAACACCTATTTTTTTTTGTCCCTTTGAGTTTTCCATGTATACCCCTATATGGTTCGGGTTTTTTACATTGATGTTTATATGTGCAAATTCTTTTGGAATGACCCATTTGGTTTTAGGTATTTGTTTCTTCATTTCTACTCCTACATGATAGGGGTCAATTTGCATAGATATAAGGTTTATGCAGATACTTTTAATGACCACTTGGTTTTAGGAGTTTGTTAACTCTTTTTATATTTATGGTCAAGGTTATTATATATCTGTGTAATTTTTTTGCACATGCTACTACTTAGTTTTTGGTTTTCTTAAAGGAAGTCCCATTTTTTGAACTATATTTATGTTCTTGAACTCTCATTTTATTAAATAATTTTAGATGAATCCCAGTGGGAGAGGTCGGCGAAGAAATAGGACTGTTCCTACTGCCGCGGCTGGATCAGCTGCACAAAGGGTAGTGATGAATCAGGAAGTAGATGGTAGCTCACAGAATGCAGTGCAGCCTGAGGTTCCACCTATACAGCCACAATTAGTAGCATCAGTGACCGAGCAGGTGCTGCAAGCCCTTTCCAGAGAGGAGAAAAGGGGTACTAAAAGGAGCAAAGGTCAAAAAAATTCCAAACATAAAAAACCGAGAACGCCAAGATCTTCAGGTACTGATTTTGATGATAGTGATGAATCGTTAGATGATTCTGATTCAGATAGTTCTTCTTCATCCGAGAGTGATTCAGATGACTGTAAGCTATTATCAGATCCTACAACTTCACTTATAGATTTAAAATTGAAAAACAAAATTTGGCAGAATAAATATGTTGATTTTTTCAAGTTGCTTCGAAGGGATGATCTCACTTCTGATAAATCATTGCGACTACAAAGCGCCGGTAATTCTGAATATAAATTTGTTGCATCAAAACCAAAAGAGTCTATCAAAACAATTGGGCAGTGGACAACAGCACTTCTAAATTTTTTTGCAGTATATTCTGAAAAATACCTTAAGCAAATTCAAGCTGTTATCAAACATGGGGAGATTGTATGAGAGTTGGCTAGTAGAAGTTCGGGTCCGGCATGGCTTACATACGATAAGCAGGTGAGGAAGGACATTGAAGTGAGGTCAATTCCTTGGTGGCAACTTCATTATGAGTATTGGGTAATTTGCACCACTTTTCGTCAACCCCAAATCCAATTCAATTTTCGTGGAAAACATGGCTAGCAAAGGGTTTCATACAAAAGTACCCCCCCCCCCCTCAGGATTCTGCTATGCATACCACAAAAGTGGAAAATGTTCTAATCAATAATGTCAATATAAACACATCTGCTTTCAGTGTAGAAAAACACACTCAGGGTTATGCTGCACTCGGGGAGATTAATCAATTGCAAAAGGCACCAGTATCGCACTCCAGGCTTAACAGACATCAATCCCCCCAAGCACAAACAAATAAAAATGTAGTAACACTAGTTAAGGTATCCATTTTAAGAAGATTTCTTAAGGGTATGATGACAATATGAAAATATATCTAAGCGAGGGGTTTCAAGAAGGCTTCAAGATACAATATTTCAAGTAAATTACAGAAAGAAATTGCCCTTGGTAGGATTGCTGGTCCCTTCAGTTCACCCCCTTTTACAAATCTTCAGTGTTCCCCTTTTGGAATTGTACCTAAAAAAGAAATAAACGAATTTCGGCTAATTCATTACTTGCCTTATCCAGATGGAGCCTCTATAAATGATTTCATCCCTGATGACGTGTTCTGTTTCCTATGCAACAGTAGATGATGCCATTAAACAAATAAAGAAACTGGGAAAAACTGTTTGTTAGCAAAAACAGATATCGCTTCGGCATTTCGCATATTACCTGTTCATTCAGATGATCTTGAATTATTAGGGATTCAATTTAAGGGGGCTTTTAATAATGACAGGTGCTTGCCCATTGGGTGTTCGATATCTTGTTCCATTTTTGAGACATTTAGCACTGCCTTACAATGGATAGCCTGTATGAAGTTTGGTGTAGCCAATATGCTGCATATTTTAGATGATTTTTTTTATTTTTAAGTCCACCTGCTTCCCAAATATGCAATTTAGCATTGCGTCAGTTTATTTCAATGTGTTTTAGGTGTACCTATTAAATGTGAAAAAACTAAAGGGCCTTCAACTACATTAATCTTCCTGGGGATAGAATTATATACTGTGAACATGGAAGCTAGATTACCAATAGAAAAAATTAAGAATGCTCTGCATTCTGCCAAACGACGTAAAATGATGACTCTGCGTGAGCTTCAATCCCTGATAGGTCTGCTAAATTTTGCCTGTTGTGTTGTTGTCCCCGGCAGGGCATTTCTACGGCGGCTTATTACACTCGCCAGAGGTGTTTCAAAACCCCATTTTCACATTCGCCTGAATTCACATGCTAGGTCAGATTTAAATGCTTGGTGCGAATTTATTGAGAACTTTAATGGGAAATCTATGTTTATTGATGACCAATGGCGGAATTCTCAGAAACTTAATCTGTACACAGATGCTGCAGGAAAGTTTAGCTATGGTGCAGTATTTGGTACAAAGTGGTTCTATGGAACTTGGGAGGACATGGGTTTACAACAGGACTACAACATCACTTTTAAAGAGTTATTTCCAATAGTAATTACAGTAGAAACTTGGGGATATGCACTTGCAAACAAATAAATACTCTTTCATTCAGATAATATAGCTGTAGTAGAAATTATAAACAAAACTTCTTCTGAAGACACCTCTGTGAGGCGCTAGGTGCTGGCTTGTTTAAGGCATAACATTTTATTTATCTAAAGCGGAGCATATTCCAGGGAAAATAAATGTCTTACCAGATCTACTTTCCCGATTACAGGTACAGAAATTTCTTGGCTTGGCACCATACATGGACAGATTTCAAACTACTGTGCCAAAGCAATACCTGCATGTTTGAATGAGACTGCATCTCAGTTCATGGAAGCCTCAGTAACTCACAACACTCAGCAATCTTACAAGATTGCTATGACTGCTTTCCAAACTTTTATAGAAAAGTATTCCACACCAGTCCGGAATTCCCTACCGAAGTAACACAGGTTAATTGTCTTGTGTCATGGCTACATAAAGAGGCAAAATCTCACAATACCATCAACACTTATGTTGCTGGTCTTTCATATTATCACCGTCTGAACGGTTTCACAGACCCAACACAATTCTTTATCATCAAAAAACTAATTAAGGGTGCACAACAGCTGTCAAGTACGCCTGATGTCAGGCTACCCATCACACCACAAATATTGTGCAAACTAATACATGCAGTTAAAAACACAGTCTCTGGCAAATTCAATAGGCTTCTTCTAAGGGCAATGTTTACTCAAAGTTTCTTTGCTTTCTTAAGCGTAAGAGAAATATCTGCAAAATCCCCCAGTAACATTAAAAATGTAATTCAAACGGAAAACTTGAAATTAGACGAACCTTTGAAAAATGCAAAATACATGACATTAACTCTAAGGCATTTCAAACATAGCAATTCTTGTAGACCAGTGTGTTTACAAATAGCTACCCAGAAATGTAAGTCTATTTGTCCGGTTCGCGCTATGGTGAAATATATAGGTAAGCTCGAGGTTCCAATATGAGTGAAAAATTCTCGAATGGGACGTAAAACAACGTTCAATCAAACAAACAGTGGCATCCTTATATCTTGAAGCATTGTAAGTTTGAAACTATATTCCAAGAAAATTCATAAATCATTAGTCATGTTGTTACTCTGTTGTTTGTTTGAAAATATCTCTAATTTTAATTGATGAATTTGATTATTTCTCACTTAAAATACTTTATTGTTACGACTACTACTTTGTCAAGTAGTTGAAATACTATTATTCTGTGAATTGAACGTTACTGGTTTGCTCCAAAGGTAATTGTCTATCCAGAAATTTATGTTTGATAGCTTGACCATGAGGAAATACGACATCATACACGTACCGGTATATTGCATGGTTCTCTGTCACCCACGTGTACGCACAGGGCATCATAAAGCATTCTTGTATCTTGTATAATTCTTGTATCGAATGACTGAATTGTATTCTTACCAATATTACTAAAACGTGTTTTGTGATTGCTATGATAATAATTAATTGTACGATTTTATTGATGTTGAATAATATACTGTTCTAGTGTAGATTGAATCAGGAATCAATAGCAGTTGATAAGAATTTTGTATGAAATTGCCTTTTTAAACAGTCATTTGCTTTTGTTTTGATGTGAGCGTTGAGTGTTTTATACGAAACAGGCCTCTTAAAATGTGCGCTTTTGCAAGGGGATGCTCCGCTTTGCGTGTCCTTATTCATATTTGAATCCTGAAGCACTGCCCTGACAAGACAAATGTATGAAATATCTTAGAATAGTTTCAGTCTTATTAAAATCAGCACCCTTTCCTTTCTGGTCGTTGACTGACAAGAAGGGGAAATGTGATTTGTTTTAAAAGTCTGGATCCTTCGTGGGTATCCTTCTTATACTGAATTACTAATATTCGTTTAATAATATGTAGAAACTGTATAATTCGATGGAGGACTTTCAAAAACAAATATGTCAGATGCAGGATTTTAGTCAATTACTTTCATCATAATTTTATTGAACATTATTCCCTGCAAATAATATTTTTTGATATGTCTATCCATTTGAAACACATCATGCCAATAAACTTTTTTTTTTTTTTTTGGTTTTACCCTTGTATTAATATATTCGTATTCTCCGTATCCTTCATATCTTCCTCCGTATCCTCTTTATCATAATCCTCCCAATCCTCCTCCTTATCTTACTTCCCATCAAGATCATCTCCCTCTATATCTGTAATATACATTACTAAGATACATCTGTTATTCGATTATATATATATAAACATAGATCTTCGTTATATGTGATTGTCAAATTTGAAATTCTCTGAACAGAAAGATTGAAAAAGGGAATTGTTGTACATTTGGAAAGCTATTTTAGGATGTACGAACAATCATAAAAATTTTAAAAAGAAAATAAGCATAATATATAATCATCGTTATATTTTCCATGTCAAATTAGATACATCATATGAACAGATTCCTACATTTTACAGGACAGCAGTAACCAAAACCAACGGTGAAGTCAAGTGTACAATATTTCGTGTCTCCACACTCAGGTTGCGATGTACACTTGTGTTGATAGTCGCACTGTTCTGAGTCACTAGCTGAAATTATGATGGTTTATAAAATTAATATTAACTTGACCAAAGCTTAACGTACGCGAGGTCATATTTCCATTTTATCATCTGTGATTTAAGAGAATCAATAATGAGTTCGTCATACATTTATTTTCCGAGAATGGTTCGAATTTTTGTATATCTTAAGTTTCCTTGAGGAGCTGTTTGTATGAGGAGATACTTACAGCATATTATTGTTCACCATGAAAGAAAGATCATGACAATGGAGATAGATTAATCATCAAGAGAAAACTAAGTATAATCACACTTTTAAAAAAAAAATAAGCAGAAGTTTGAGGCAGTAGAAAGCCATTCCATAAATTCTTAAGCTGAACTTACTATTCACTGCCTATTCCAAGTGAGGTAACGCCCTGAGTTTTACTATGTTTTCGACAGTTTTTTTTTAAATATTGTGCTTTGTTTAACACTTTGTTTTTAGCCACAAAGAAGGCAGTGCAATTATTTTCTAAGACATTGTGTACTGTATAACACTTTGTTTATAGCCACCGCGAATGCATTGTAGACATTTCCCTAAAACATTGCGTTCTGTATAAAACTTTGTTTTTAGCAACCTCAAAGGCCTCTGGATCATAATTTGAATAATCAAAGACCCACATTGTTTCATAAACTATCTACAGTATTTATAAACTGTCATTGATACTACTTATTTGAGTTTTTTGTTTGTAGTTTATATAAATTTGTTATAGCAACGAAGATTGTAAAGTTTTATGTTATATTTACAGTACTTTTGTTTCGTCACGACTCTCTGTGCAATAAATTTCTTAGGTCCATCGTAAATGCACTTGTTGTTCCAACAAAGCAGAACGTATGAACGAGGTGGTAGCATTGAAAATATTAGATATAAATGAGATGATGCGATTGTATTTGATGGATTAAGCGGTGTGGCGATCATGCAGGCACATACTGGAAAAAGTGATTTTAGTCCTGGATCCGTCCGCACTTTAATCCGCCATCTTATTCTAAAAGTACCGTTACTGGGGAAATATGCTTGCATGTGCTGAGGAAATCTGAACCAATATAATGCTTTAACTGCAGGTATCGAAATTATATAATGTAATGTAGTCCAAAAAAAGTTAAAACTGCCATAGCGACCAACTGTATTAAGCGACTCACTCTCGTATGTGACCGTAAAAATTCGTCCCAATGTATTACCCTATATATTGAACCTTTATTAAACGACCACCTGTCTAATGCAACCAGCGACCGTGATTTTCGCAACCATTTTTAGTGATTTCAACCCTAACAAAAAAATACTATAGTTAACTATAGTTTACTATAGTTAACTATAGTGCTAACTTTGACACTATGAAAATTTTGATTTACTATTATAGTGATAACTTTGACACTTTGATTTACTATAGTGATAACTTTGACACTTTGATTTACTAAAGTGATAACTATGAAAACTTTAATTTACTTTAGTGATAACTTTAACGTACACTTTGATTTACCATAGTGATAACTTTGACACTTTGATTTACTAAAGTGATAATTATGAAAACTTTGATTTACTATAGTGATCACTATGAAAACTTTGATTTACTATGGTGAAAACTTTGATTTACTATAGTTATAACTTTGAAAACTTTGATTAACTATAGTGATAACTTTGACACTATAGTGATCCCTTTGAAAACTTTGATTTACTATAGTGATCACTATGACACTATAGTGATCACTTTGAAAACTTTGATTTAGTATAGTGATAACTTTGACACTTTGAATTTCTATAGATAACTATAGTAAACTATAGTTAAGTATAGTTAACTATAGTATTTTTTTGTTAGGGAAGAAATTTTACCTTGGTTCAACGACTATATGATTTGCGATTCCTACTTTCGATTTCGGTCGAGCATGTCAAGTATATTGGCTTAAAAAATCTACAGACACGTGTTTATATCATTTAATAGTTATATAATTCGGGTTTTATAAGTACAATAACAATTCAAAAAAATAAATGCTTTTACTTTCAATTTGATATTTATTGAATGAACAATAAAATTTAATACATAAACATTCATTGTCTTTTTTTCTCCAATAATTGATGAGCGCCATTTAAAAAAAATACGTTCGAGATTGACCCCGATGTGTATTATATTGTAGTATGAGGGCCTAATGGACATACAGCTATAAAGCTTGTATGTTTCCTGTTTAACTTTTAATTAACAAGTAACCAATATTATTTGTTTATTTAATTGAATTGTGTCACCGTCTGGTTATGTAAACACACGCCAAGTAGCTAGCACCCCATAATAGGCGCCAATTGCAATTAAGTGATTGAAGTAAGTGGTGAATTACAGACAATTGTAATAACTATAATTATAATAAGAGTAATAACTAGTCATGAAGAAAATATTTAATTAGGTTAAAAAGTTGTAAGACGTAAATTTAATTTAATTTGTTACCAAATGCATAACGAAAATCATGATACAGTTACAATTCTTCGTATAGTACAGAACATACGAAGTTACATAGGCTATCATGTTAAAATATTTTCTTCAAAGAAAAATATATCTATTTTATTATGCATAAAAAACCTTTATATTTTCAGATTCTAAATACTTCCCAAAAATCAAAATGACTCTTGTAATTTTATTGCCGTACATGACGAACGTACCTCAGAATATACAAACAAGTACAGAAGAGCAATTATTATTAAAAGTCGGAAATATACAGTATATGATATACAACAAATTCCAAATACATGTATCATATTTTCAGCATTGTATATTTGAACACTGCAGAAAATGTATTAAAAGACCACCTGTCATATGTAACCTTCCTTCCTTTCTCCGTTGGAAGGTCTCTTAATACAGGTTTGACCGTATGCCAAATGTACGAAAGTATACCCATTTGCATGCAACCCAGCAATCAGTTGCTATATTAAGGGAATCGTCGAGAGTGCGTTGTTTCAAATTGTCAGATTTCAATTTAGATTTGCATAATTCATAAAACTTTTTTCAAAAGCATTTATTTTAAACTAATGATTATATGCCTTTGAAAAAAGGCTTCACGTATGCATGTTACAGACGGGGGGTTGAAATTTGTGAAGTTTGTCACGTCTCCTCGCTATAGATTGTATATGTTTACAGAAATTAAATGAATTTTACAAAAAATATTGAGTTTTTTTATTGATTTTTTTTAACTTCAATCTACGGAAGTTATTGTACAGTATGTTGGAAGTTATTGTACGACTAAACTCCGCCCCTAGATGTTACGATAAGTTTGAATTCTGCCAAAGGTTTTCTATCTGATTTAAAGTATGGGTAACATAAAAGAAAAAGTACCGCACCATGACACAAGTGTTTGAAACAGTAAAAAAAAATATGGCCATTAAAAACCCTATAAATTTTAGAATACTTTGTTCTAAGAAGTTCTTACTTAACTTTCATTCTGAGATTATTGAATACTAAACGTGATTCTAAATCAAAGAACATATTAAGAGTAAGAGAGGAGAAAAAAAGAAAGAGAGAAGAGAAAGAGTGAGAATAAAAGCCAGCCACAGAGAGAGAGAAGGAGAGAGCTTACCGGACGACACGATTACCAGGCAAAGAAGAGTCAATGCAACAACGCTTTTCCTCATGTTGATGAAGGACACTGCAGATCACCAGATCAACACGACTTAGGTCTTATATACTGTCAGAGAACCTGTATCCACCAATCATTCCTTAGTAAAACAATCTCCTCGTTGATTAAAATGTTAAATTATAATAGCGATAAAAATGTCTAATTTAAGAAGATAAATGATGTCACTGCGTTGAGGAAACAGAGAAACAAAATGATTATTATTCAAATTGATTCATTACATAATTTTTTAAAATCCTAAACTAATTAAGTAATAATATCAGTAGAGTTAGTGAGAAAAAATTCTATGTGCAAAATGTTTTTAAAAAAATTGTCATTAAATTAATTTTACATTTATGCTTAAAATATGCGTTTTTTTAAATTTTTTATTTCAGCATATTTATAACCAAAAAAAAAAAAAAAAAAAAAAAAAAAAAAAAAAAAAAACAACCAAAAACCTCGTTGGGTTTATTTGAGTGCTAATAGGCTTAAATTTACAGCAAGTCAACAAAGTAAAGGGATACTTTCAACGGATGTAAAACTAAATTCTTCAATTTCAACTAATTTTATTTTGGGTTTTAAAAAAATGAAGAATAAAATACCATGCCGTCCAATATGTAAAAAAAAAAAATGCTGGCATAAAAAATTAGAAAACATTACTCATACCCTTTGAATCATATTTGTTTATTTTATTCATGTTATTTTGAATAAGAGAAAAACATATTTCAGAGGTCCACATAAATCAAGTACAAGGCTAATGTCGTATTTTTGTTATGAGTTGTGGTAAAGATTGCATTTTCCATTGAACTTCACAACTTTCTTTGATCATTTAGTGCTATTATATTAAGACTGTAAGACGCCGAGTGACACAATTTCATAACTTCGTACGTTCATTGCATGCCAATTTGTTTAAAATTTTTGGTCATTACTGCTTTTAATTTTGTTACATTTTCATTTAAACCTGCAATTGCCTAATTAAGTGCAGTAGCTAGTCCATGGGCATTTCCATAATAGCTACAAAGGCATGAACTCTCTACTTATTTACATAAGTATGCATTAATAATTTTTTTCAAAATGATATTTTCTCTCTCTCTCTCTCTCTCTCTCTCTCTCTCTCTCTCTCTCTCTCTCTCTCTCTCTCTCATAATACACCGGATAAATAAGAATTAACATATTCTAGAATTTATGATGTATTGTCACAGGAAAATTACAACGAATGATAACCAGTTAAAAAAGGAAAATACCTTAAACATATAACACTTTAAAATGTTTTAGTACATGTATGTTTACCAAAAGTTTCAAGTTCGTCATTCATTAAACATTGTAAATAATATTTTGTATGCTTTATACATTAACTGAAATATTCTTATTGTTTCATACGAGACATATAAAGTAACTTTATCAAGATATAATACTGAATATTACCTCCATATTAGATTTTGCCTGTCTGATGAATCCTCTTTTCTTTTCAATTGATAATTCATTTATTCAAAGTGTCAAATGAAATATATGGTAATAACGAACAGTATTCAAGCTCAAAAGTCCATTAAACAATATAAATCAGGAGCAGAGCAAACACGGACCTCTAAAACATCAGAGGTGGGATCAGGTGCAATGGAGGAGTGAGCATCCCCTGCCGACCGGTCACACCCGCCTTGTGCTCCTTTTCATGATCGGGAAATAACGGGAAAATCCGGTTGCAATTCAGTGTGTAAATCACGGCCTAACAAGTATGGATGAAAAACATCAGTCAGCATTTGACTTAATGATAGATTGTATTTGCTGACAAGGTCATTGTATGGACCATAGAACTCACGAAATGATGTCTTTAAACGAGACTGCTGACACTCTTGTTTCATCAACTTCTTTGTCAATAACCTACTTCGTTTAAGAGATTGGACATACGTAGATCATGCTCTTGGGTTTCGAATCAACTGAGAGATATAAACCCGTATGCAGGTGATAAAGGTATATTGCTGCATAAGTAAGGGAAGTTTACGATTGAAAAGGTAAAGTCATCATGTTTATCATAAAGCTTGGTTGTCTTTTTCTAGTTAAATATACAAATATAAAACAGATGTATCAGACTCTGTGGTATCTTTCATTTCAGGCTCACCGGGATATATCGTATCGACATAAGAATGGAAATACCATTGTTAATTGATAGTACGTCGTCGATATATCTAAATGTCGAGTTGAAGGCCACGACAGGTGTTTTCTTCTTTTCACGTATCAGATTTTTAGCAAATTCTGCTTCATATGAATACAAAAATAGGTCTGCTAATAACGGAGCGCAATTGGTACCCATGGGAATTCCAATAGACTGTTGAAAGACCTGGTCTCCAAAAACCACATAGATATTGTCAGAAACTCAAGCATCTTTTTAATATCAACTTCAGAGTACTTGAGTGTACAATCAGAATGTTTTTTAACAAAATAATTTTGCAAATGACCAATGATAAGATAAGTAAATCTACGAGTTAAATTTTTATTCAAGAAGCAGCTGTCAATGATGTCAAAAAGCCTGAACGGTTATTTATCGTGGGGAATATATAAAGTTGAAAAGTCGTAAGTTTTTATGTTGTTGATTTTGGTAAAATTTTTGATTTCAAATTTTCCAAAAGTTCCTTGGATTTTATAAGTATCCACATCTGATTTACACCACTTCCCGAATATATTGTTGCCCAGTATATATATAAAGTACTAAAAACCCACAACACTGTATATCCTAAGTGTCGGATCTACTAAGTAGATACAAGGTCATGCATGGAAATTTATATAAAGCACTAAAAATGACCAACGACACGAACAATAATAATTGTCAAATTTTCGGGACGACCTCTCCCTTCCTCAGGACAAGAAAAAAAAAAAAAATAGGTTAAGAAGTAGAAAAACAAAGGAAATAGAGAAACAAAAACTAGCACTACTACTAAACTACTAAACACTGAATATTTACAGTGTTACTTATTTAATTTGAAGTTTATAGACAGTTGTGAACAAAGAAGTCCGGAGCGCTATGAATTGCGTCCGTTCTATCGGGTGTTCTCTGGTGAAGTGTGATTTACATAATTGAACGAATTAATTATCGGTAATTAATTATGACCAAGCAGTAAATCGTACATTGTCTTATTCTCTCAAAGTAGTGTAACTATACATGATAAAAAGAAATTAAAGAAAGATGATATGGAAAGGGCAATTTTAAAATATGAATTTGGATATATTATAAATTTGGAAATCGGATAAAAGAAATAAACAGAAATGTAAGCTGTAAATATCTGGGTAGGTCGTTCCAGAATTGCTAATGCGAATTAACGGTTAAGTTTACACTAAATGGAGAAAATGAACTTGTTTGTTACAATCCGGGATTGGGTCTTGTTCACGTTCATCCTGGTGAAGTCATTTAGTTTGTTAATACCATTAGGGCGGAATGACCTCAGCCTGTGCATCCAGAACTTTTCCTTGCCTTTTCTCTGAGCGTCTGTCCATCTTGGATTATGGTCAATAACCACTACTGTCATGTCCTCCCATTTGTGACCTTCAAGGTTGAAATGTTCCCCAACGGGTTCATTCATGGTCCTAATGGTAGAACGGTGATTATTGATCTCCTGAGGAGATCTCCTGTTTCACCAACATACTGTTTGGAGCAAACTTTGCAACTGATGAGATAAATGCAGTTGTCTGTTTGACAGGACAAATGCCCTAGTATTTTGTAGCTCCTTGAAGCTCCTTTAACATGTTCTCAAGTTTAACAACTTCATGTTTAATGGAGAACATTACCTGCAGGTTAATGGCACTGCTATGGGTACGAAAATGGCACCATCTTATGCCAATATTTTCATGGGCAAACTTGAACGCAACTTGCTACTTCAAGCACCATTTAGGCCCCTTAGCTGGTTGCGTTTCATTGACGATATAGAGATGAAGTGGGTGGAATGTCGCGAGAGCCTCGAGGCATTCATTTCATTTACCAACACCTTTCATCAGTCTATCAAATTTACAGTAGACGTATCTAATTCAAAAAACATATTCCTAGATACTACATCAACCCTGACTGATGGTGAAATCGAGTTCAGTCTCCACACGAAACCCACAGATTCCCATCTGTATCTTATGCCAACTAGCTGTCATCCCCCACACACATTTAAGGGTGTGCCTAAGGGTCTAGCCACCAGAATTCGGCGCATCTGTTCATCCACTGCCTTATATCAGGAACAAAGCGGTCTCCTCAAGTCCCACTTATGCAAGAGAGGCCACAATGCCCACACCGTACAAACTGCTATTGATGAGATGGCGGGACATGACAGGCAAAACCTATTACGCTACAAGGAAAAAGACAATAGCGGCAGGGTCCCTCTGGTAACCACATACCATCCCGTCCTTCAGAACCTCAGCGGTATCCTCAAAAGAATCTGCCAATTCTCCACTTAAATAAACGAATGGCAGAGGTCTTTAAGCAGCCCCCATTGGCTGCATACAGACGCCCGAGGAACCTAAAGTAGTAAGAACCAGATTGGACAATCCATTACCTAACGGGGGTTTTAAAACTTGCTCTGACAGAAGATGTCTTCTCTGTAAGCACAGCTCTGACACAGACAGCTTTAACAGCCCCGTTACAGACCGTAGCTACAAAATACTAGGGAATTTGTCCTGTCAAACAGACAACTGCATTTATCTCATCAGTTGCAAAGTTTGCTCCAAACAGTATGTTGGTGAAACAGGAGATCTCCGCAGGAGAGTCAATAATCACCGTTCTACCATTAGGACCAAAAAAACTCAATGAACCCGTTGAGGAACATTTCAACCTTGAAGGTCACAAATGGGAGGACATGACAGTAATGGTTATTGACCATAATCCAAGATGGACAGACGCTCAGAGAAAAGGCAAGGAAAAGTTCTGGATGCACAGGCTGAAGTCATTCCGCCCTAATGGTATTAACAAACTAAATGACTTCACCAGGATGAACGTGAACAAGACCCAATCCCGGATTGTAACAAACAAGTTCATTCTCTCCATTTAGTGTAAACTTTACCGTTAATTCGCATTAGCTATTCTGTAACGACCTACCCAGATAT